TGGCTGCTGGGCTTCTAGGTTGGCTAGCCTATCTGCTGCCTCGTTCCCTTCAATGCCCAGGTGTCCAGGGGCCCATTTAATAGAGACGTCGTGGGTCTCCATGGCACCATGGCACTCCAGAAAGGCCTATTGAGAGGTAGGGGGTGCGTCGCCCCTGAGGCACCATATCACTGAGGTGCTGTCTATGCACAGCCAGATTCGGCGGGTGCGGAGCGCTGGTTGTCTTATAGTTTGCTGGAGGCCTCTCCACGCTCCTATTGCCTCAGCGTTAAAGACGTGGGAGGTAGGGTAGAGTAATCTGCGTCTAGTCTAGAGTTGTTTTCTGTCTTAATACACTGCAAAGCTGTAGGTAACCTACTTTCCTCCTTCCTTAGTATACTATTCTAAGCTATCTAAGAAGATAGTAATATCTAGTAGTAAGAGCTAGGCCTACTATTAGCTAAAAGCCTTAGCTGCAGTCTTCTTGTCTATGCTAAGTGTTAGGTCTGTTTAGTAGCTAGTTAAGTAGTAAGGGGCTATAAGTGTAGTCCTAGGAATCTCTAGTAGAAGAGATGCTATCTGTTAGACTTTAGTCTTAACTTGCTGGGGTTGTCCTGTTTTTACGCCCCTGTTTACAATAGGTACTGGTGTGCGTCTAGTAAGGGGGTGTTCTGCATCTGTGGTGCGTAGACGGGCTGCAAATCTGAGTTTAGCTTGCTCTAGTGCTACTGCTGCTGGTAGCAATCCGGCATCTTGGAAGAGTGCAGCTATAGGGGTTGTCCTCCACGCTGGTAGAATGCCCCGCGCTGCTATGGCCAGGGTCTTGTCTATAGCAGCTATGTGCCATCCAATGTAGGCGCTGACCTCTTGTGGCCCGCCTGGTCTGAGTGAATGTGGCGGTTTAGTGCAGCCTCTGTACCAGCACTTAGTCCTATACAGAAGCCCTAGGTACAGACAGGCAATAGTAGCCTTGCAGAGGGAGCTGGCTGGTAGTCTATAGGTAGTCCTGGCAAGGCTGCGAATATAATGGGCTACCTTAGTAGCCTTTGCAGTGCGTGTGGCTACATGACGTCTAAAGGTAAGTCTGCGGTCAAACTACACTCCTAGCCAGCGCAGGGCTGGCTGGCTGTGCTCTCCACCCAGGAGGATAGGGTGGATTGTAAGCTGCTTATCTACAACACAGGGTGGTGCGTAGCTGCTTTGTTGCCTAGTTAGGTGTATCATTTCTTGCTTTTCTAGAGCAAAGGTAACCTTGTTAGCCTCTCCCTATGCTCTAATCTGCCTTAGGTCTAATGCTAGGAGCTCAACGTTGTTATCTATAGAATGTGAGGCTTAGTATAGACATATGTTGTCTGCATATCCAAATCTCTATTCTGTATCTATAGACAGTAGCTTAGCTAGATACAGTGTGTACAGGACAGGAGAGAGAGGCAAGCCTTAGGGTGTGCCAAAGGCAACAGGGTAGCTAGGGGTGGTGACCTGGCTAAGGCAGACTTAAACCCTCTAGTTAGTAAGGAATAAGTCTACAAAGAGGATAGTCCTTTGTAGCCAGCCCTGTTGGGCTATCTAGTGTAGTAGGCAGTTCTTAAGGAGGGCATTGAAAGCGCCTTGTACATCTAGGGTGACCATAGTAACATGCTTTCTAAGTACCCATGCGGCTTTAGTGTTGTGGGTGAACGCTGCAGTGAGGTCTGCTGCAGAGCGCTTTAGTAGGGCGCCTCCATGCTGGGGACTGAGGATCTTGTGGGTCATGGCTGTCCACGCAATTCGTCTGGCCACTGTTCGTTCAAGTCCCTTCCCAATGCAGGAGAGGAGCGCTATAGGTCTCCAGGAGCGGGGTGACGTTCAGTCTGTCTTCCCTGCCTTAGGTATTATAGCTACCTCAGCAAGCTTCCACTGTGCTGGGAAGTAGTTGAGCTTAAGGCACTGCTGGAAGATTCTTCGTATAAGTTCCCTAACCTGAGCCCAGCAGGCACGGAGTAGTCGCACAGTAGAGCGATCAGTGCCTGGGGAGGTGCTGGAGACCCCTATTGTATTTCGCTCACATTCCTCTAGTGAGATGTGCGTGCTCCACGGGAGGGTATCTGCATTCTCCTGGTCTGGGCAGTGCCTGAGGTTGTCCTCTGCTCCAAACTGGTTGAGGACCTCCTCTCTAAGGGCCTCTGCCTTCTCTAGGGGGTCTGATATAGCCACGTTGTTTACTACAAGCAGAGCGTCTTGGTTCTCTAGCAAGAGCTTATGCCAGGCAATAATCTTAAACAGGTCTTTGTTATTCTTAGTGTTGTTAATCACATGCCTCTAGTACTGTCTCTTTGCCTGTTAGACTATAGTCTTGAAGGTCTATCTCTCTTTAGGTAGACAGCTAGAGCAGAGCTGTCAGGCCTGTTTGTAGACTTGGTAGGCAGTTTTGCACTCCTCTGTCCACCAAGGTGCAGCGCGGCCTTCCTTACGGGCGCCTCTGCCTGCTGTCTATATCGCGTGCTCTATAGTCTCTGTGAGCAGCCTAACGCACTCATCGAGCTGTGATGCCTCCTGTGTGGCCAGCAGGTCCGGGATGTTCTGGACTCCTATCTCTACTAGCCCAGTGAACTTGGGTAGGTTTGCCTCTGGGACTCTGTAGTGGTGCTGCTCTAGGTGCCGAGTGCCCGGTGTGGAGATAGGGATAGAGGTCACTATTGTCTCATGGTCTGAGCCGCTGTGCATGCTAGCGTCAACAGCA